TGCCTTTGGCCCAGGCTCCTGCTACTGAGGAACGGGGCCACTCCACGCCCGAAGGTGACTTATGACTGGTTGAGTCATGACGCGTGAGCCGATTCGACGCCATGGAATATAAGCTTTCACGGGCGACGGCATCAGCATAACTTGGAATAAAATTAAACTTGTTTTGTTCCACTCCGCTGCACAAGCGAAACTTCACCAAATGCTCTCCTGAGATCAAATGCCACGCAAGCGTAGGGTGAGCGCATATGCCCCACTCCGTCGTCTCTGGGGACAAACCAGCCTGAGCCAGACGGGTTGCAAAGAAAAACTCTGAAAGCGACTCATTCACGAGCACCCGACATGACACGTCCTGCTGACTTCCCAAACTGATCGACGCTGGTGCACGTACACATTTCGAGCAGCCTTACATAAGTCTGTGTCGATGGCGTCTTAGCTCTTGGGCGGTGCCGAAGATTCCATTCACGCCCCGTCCAGGCCTGGCTGCTTCTGGAGTGCGTGTGTGCGTGTCTATGTGCGTGTGCGTGTGCGTGTGTGTGTGCGTGTGGTGTATGTATATGTGTTGTGGTGTGTGTTGTGGGTTATATGTGTTATGTGTTGTGTGCTGTGTGTGGTGTGTCTGGTGTGTTGTGTGTTTTGCTTTGTGTGTTGTGTGTAATTGTGTGTGTTTGTGTGTGCCTGTGTCTGTGCCTGTGTCTGTGTCTGTGTCCGTGTCTGTGTCTGTGTTTGTGTCGGTGTGTTGACCCTGACGTCGCGTTTGGTTTCTGGTATGCAAATGTATCTGGAGAAACGGCCGGGATAAAGCGCAGACGTGGACAGGAACACTAACAATCGCCTCTGACATGTACTTATTCGGCGAGGCATGTAAGATAACGAACCACACTGTAGGGACATCTTCCAGCATACGCAGAGATCCAGGTTAACACGCAGTATAAAGTTACCCCATCGCGCGTTGCGAAACATTCCGACCCTCATCATCACCATGCATTGCATTATTCGCCCGCCTTCCTTATAAGAAACTATGTACCCGCGGACTGCGAATACCATCTCAACACCCATCTAGACCAATAAAACCAGGTGGGCGCATGCGCCAGGGACTGCCCAGAAAGCTAGCATGTCCATCCTCGTCTGTCCCATCCTCGCCAATTCCTACACCCCCCAATTCTCCCTGTCCCTTCCAAGAGAGGCGCGGGAGGAGGAGCAGGAGGATAGGGGCGGGGGAACTGAAAGAGGGAGGGGGGAAAGGAGGGAAAGAAAAACGCAGGGGAAAAGACAAGGCCGGAAGAGGATGATCAGGATCAGGATCAGAGCTCCAAAGGACCTCTTGTCAAGGTCACCTACAGTAGGAAGTCAGGCTCGGAGGAAAACCAGAGGAAGTGGGATCAAGCTCTGGACAGGAGCGCCTCCGAGGCTCACGCCGAAGGCTAACGCCCTGAGCCCCAGAGACCGTCTCGGGAACGCATTGCCCAAAACGGGGCCCAGCAGGAGTCAATTCTAGAGGTAAACCTGCTCGAAATCCCGTTCTGGCTAATTTCAAAATCTGGCGGCTCTGAAACATCGCTAGACATTTAGGGTGGCCTTTTCGGGCCCCCCCTCGTCTCTAAAGATGTGTTCGCGCAAACTGAATCGGGGGCCTCTCGTTTCCTAGCTTCCCAGAACTCAACCGAGGATAAGGAGGGCCCGCGCCTGGGACATCGGGCACGGGCCTGCGCGCGGAGGAGGAGGGAGGAGCCGCTGCCGTCGATCCACGCGATCTCGTAACAGCGGTCGTCGAGGTGGTGGCGGACGTCGACCCCGAGGGTCTCGTAGATTTGGCGGCCGCTCTCGGCGCAGAGGTGATGGTCAGAGCGCGGGGTCGAGCAAGACAGGACGAGGTCGGAGGTCGGGTCGCAGGTTTCGGCAGTGATCGCACCGCCCGCACACTGCCGGGGAGAGGCACAAGATCAGCATCATGAACTGCACCGCCACACACACACACACACTTTCAGCACTGACAATCCGAGAGAAAAAAGCCGAGCACCTAACATCATTAGCCACACCGTCATAATCACATGTCCGTGAACGCCTCGAGCCACTCGTGCAGCTCGCGTTCCACGCGGGTCGGGAGCGCGCAGCCCCGCTTCAACTCTGCGCCCGTCTGGGCCAGGCTCTCGAGAATCATCGGCCTGATCGTCGGGTCGAGGTGCAGTAACAGTTTTTTTGTTGTTCTGGTCGTAGCAGCGGTCCATCTTGCAGAACTTGAGATAGTCGCACTTCGCGGTCACCTCCGTCCCAAGCTGGCTGCGCAACTCCGTCAGCTCCTTCGCGTTGATTGCCCCCACCGCCTCCTTCCTCTCCATCAGGTCCATCGGGGGGCCGCCGAAGACCCAGATGCGCGGGGGTCCGAAGCTGTGACCGCGCCCAGCTGATGCCACCGATTCCAAATACTTCGCGCCCGTCTCGCTCATCTTGGTCGCCTCGTGCCGTTCGTCTCGATCAGCATGCAAACGAACGCCGCGCCCTCCACGTTCCGCTTCGATTGGCCCAGCTGCAGCAGGAACTTGAACATCAGCACATGCGGCAGTCTCTGTGCGCCCTTGAAGCCGAAGTCCGTCTCCTTCTCGCCGTCGCCTCGGGCGCGCACGCGCCCGTCCTGTCGGTTGGCCCCCGCGCCTCCGCCGCCCGACGCCGCCGCCGCCGCCGCCCCTTGTCCTTGGCCGAAAACCGCCACGGGGGCACGAGCACAGGCTGGGACCGCGATGCGTCTGGCACCAGCACGCGAAAGGAGGCCCGAGGAAAAACTGCCACAGGCGGAGGATGGGGAAGATGGCGTTGCACGACGCGTTCGTCGCATACGTCCACGTTTTCGACAGCTTCGTCATAATAATGGCACACCATCGCGCCGGGGGCACTAAGGGGCAGCGGAAATCGAGGCAGGCCCATGCGACGCTTCGGACTACTCCAAGACGATCGAACGCGTTGTCTAGCCCCACCCCCGGTCGAGAACGTCGATTGACACAGCGGGCACCGATTGCATATCACGCGCGCAAACAGGGGGCCACGCGCGCCACGTTCACCACCACGAGACTGGATCATGCGCGAGGGAAGGGCCCCATGGGAGGAAAACGCCCGGCTGCGCGGGCCCCCGCTCTCGTCTCTGAGCGCGCAAACGAAGGCCGCGAGTTCTTCTTCCATCGGAGGCGCCGCCGCACGGGCAGGTCCTCGCAGGCTCTGAAGAAAAAACAATCGCGCTTTCCGTCAGGATAGCTGCCTTGAGAATCGACGGGTCGACCCGAGGCCATGCTTCTCGTGCCTCGTCGTCATCGAACAGGGCGATACACGAATAATCACGTCCGCCCCATTGCTCGAAAAACTCCTCGGCGCCGCTGATGCCAGCGCATATCCACGGGTCGGTTTCTACTTGGCGCGCCAGAAGCGGGGCTTCACGGGCGAAGCGTCCACGAGGGCCCAGGGCAGGAGGCCCGTCATTAAAGGCACCTCTGAGAGCCGCGATAACCCGGGCGCGGGGCTCGGGGTCGCGGACCATCTTCTGGAGCCGGGCGAACCTTCTGGAAGCTTGCGCGCACCTAGAAGGACCCACTTCCCACCCACGCCGAAGGACCGCGCGAGGAAGGCAACGAAAATTGCTGCCACTCCAGTCCGTGGCCTTGCCCCTCTCCAGAGCTCTTAAACACTCAGCTACAATGGCGCCCATCTGGTCAGTCATTTGCGCCGCGAAAACGCAGGCTTCTTTCGCCGACAAACCAGCTTCGATAACGTGCCCCTAGAAAGCCAGAAGCTCGAGTTTGCTAGAAATTCTGATACCCCACAGACTCCCATCTTGGCCGATCCCGCCCGCGTAGCTGGGCATCTAGATTGCGAGTCCCCCATCGTCGCTGAGCTCCAAGCGTACCTGCCTCACAAATACCGAGCCCGCGGTGAAACCTGCCACTCCTTGGCCAGCTCCTTAAACCTCTTGGTCTCATGGGGGCGCTGAAAGCGCGGCGCAGTTTCCCGTTTGCTACTGCCCTGTGAAGTCCCACTCGGTGCAACCAACTCCTCGCCCAGCGTTTCATCGCTCTGCTGGGCGAGAAGGGGGGCCTCTCCAGCCTCGCCGCTGCGGACAAGAACCTTGTCGAAGATATCATATGCAAAGACACTCGCGCCGCCGTCGAGCTCGCGCGGGAAGATGCCGCGCTGCAGATCAACAGACAGACCTGCAGGGCGCGACGATCGCCAAGCGTAAAACGGACGCTGCATGACCTTTGCGAATATTACAGGGTCCTCGCTCGATCCCAATCCCCCACACCCGCGAAGAAATAACCAGATTACGAATATCCTTCCAATGTTCGCCCCCCCCCCCCCCCCCATGAACGCACCCCAAGAAAATAGCAGCGCGCCCCGATCGGTGTTCAAATAATGCTCGATCTCGAGGGAGGACGAGATCGGACGGCACGGCAACGGGCATCGGGCGGGTCGGAGGCGAAAGCATCTGACACATCGCGAAGATTGTTGAGGTGACCCAGTTTTCTCTTCCGAAGCCGATGTCCCACGCAAAGCTGCACAACCAAGGCGTCTTCACGACGCCGAACGGGCAACAAAAACATGGAAGTTTGCCTGCCAATCCCGAGGTCGGGAAAGCAATCCTCGTCGCACAGCGGCCCCATAGTAGCCCTTCCAGTAGGGGCAAAATAAATGCATGCGGCGTTGACCCCAGGGCCCACGTTTCCCATTCGGCTTCAGGATCGGACATCCCCAGGAGAGGTGGGCCAGCTTAGGCACCCGCTGCAGCAATCGAATCCATCAGCGTGTGTTTTCGGAATGGTCGCACGCCTGCGAGGGGGGTAGCTCGCCTACTCGCTCAGCGCCAAGCCCTAACCGAGGCTTGTCAGCACGGGATACCTAGCTGGCCTCAGCGGCCATGCGAAACATCTCGGCGGGCATGCCCCAGGCAGGGGCAGCTCGAGGTTTTGGGCGCTTCATTTGGAACCTCCGGGTACTTCGAAGATCACGCTCGGCCCAGAAAAGGTGCTCCTCGCGGGTTTCGTCGGCCATCGTGGTCGTGTCGACCGCCTCGAGGTTCCTCTCGAGTTCGGACGCGCAATCCATCTCCTGGGCATTCATACCTCCATCGTAAGGAGAAAGCGCCAGATAACTCCTCCATTCCTCCCGCGATGACTGCGGGGTCGGCACGCGGTACTTTCGCTTACGAGGGCCCCCACAGCGGGCTGCGAGAGAAAAAAAGCTGGCGATTGACCTCGGCAAATCGGCGTAGACGGTGGGCCTCTTGAGTGTCACGCTCAAGCCGACGTCTGCGCTTTGCGCACTCTCGGCGCGCAAGCTGCCGAAGGAAAAACGGATGCCCTGCAGCTCCTGATACTCTGGAACCAGAATGGGCTGGTGTTTCAGGACTCCCTCATACTCCACGCCCTGCTCGCCAAGTCTCGCGCGTGCCCCCGCGCGACGTCGCACCAGTTCGCGCCGTTGCTCTCGAAGTCGCACAGCCCGGGGGTCGCCTTCCTTGCGCTCCTGGCCGAAGAACTGCTGGGCACACGAGCGGGTGACGTCCGCCCACTTCTTCCAATAGACATCGATGTCGCCTGATATGCCGTACTGCGTGAGCTCCGTACACTCGTCGACCGCCACCTTCAAGGCACCCTGGAACTCAAGTCGGTATGTGCCCTCACGCAGTGCGGCCGCCAGTTTGTCACGATCCCATCGGAAAGTGTGGTGTTGTTGGCCGCGGTGCTGGTAGGCAGGAAAGTCAACGATGATCGGTACGTGGTCTCTCGGCAGCACACTCGGTATCAGTTGAAGTCGTCTCGCCGAGCCCCATGGGATAAAACAGCGCCGTGTATGCTCATGAAGGGCCAACGACATCAACACATGGTCCGCAGTGCTGGTCGAGCCGTCGTAGTGATAGTACGTCGGTCCTGCCTTCGCGGGGAAGCTGCTGACGTTCATCAGCTCGTATAGTAATATGAGATCCTCCCAGATCTGGTCGCCAATGACGTTCTGGTTGCCCTGGTGGTGGCCACCGATGTTGTCGTCCTTGTCAGCGTGCTCCACGTTGAACACAGTTGGAACCACGATCGATCCGCTACGAAGTCCAATACCTGTATTCATGTCGCCCATGATAATCGGTGTCGAGCGTGCTGGTGCCGATCTCACTTGTTGTGTAGCCCACTGCACCAGTTCTTGCGAGCCGTTGTTCTTGGCCCGCCTCCTGCGAGCGCAGTCGTCCTTCAGCGCGGGCAGATACCAGAGCACGATCGCCAAGTCCAGGGAACCACGTACTATGCGCACTGCCAGTCCTCAGCCCTGGGCGGCGGGCGGTGGGGTACTGATCGTCCGTATACCCCTGCGCATCCTCTGAGATTTCATCAACATGCACCCCGCAACTCGATTCGAAAAAACTGCAGCAGCCCATCCTGCCGACAACCCATATCCCCCCCGCTCGATGTGCCATTCTTGGACAGGGTAGCCTGGTGGAGCGCGGAGGCTGGTGCCCGCCAGGCCGATGATGTCAGCGTGGATCTCTCTCCATGTATCAGCAGGTCTGTTCACTTCGACCAAAGACATCGGATTGAAGAGTGCCAATCTGAAAGAAGAAATCCATGGGCCCACAAGGGTGAGTGCGTCCCGTGACGTTCCCGCCCTGAGATCGTGCGTGGGCAAGCCACAGGAAGTGTATTTTGGAAGACAGCGCGGTACAGTACAAGGATGCTGCATTGTGTGGGGGGATGCCAAAAGCAGCTCGGAAGAGGATGAGGAAGGGGGGAGGAAGAGGAGGAGGAGGAGGAGGAGGAGGAGGAGGAGGCGTGAGCAGGCGGGAGCGGAGGAGGGGAGGAGGAGGCCAAAACAGGGAGAGAGGGGAGGGAGGAGGGGACAGAAGGAGGACGAGAAGTCGGAGAGGAGTTCGGGGTCCTGCTCCCGCCTCCGCGACAACGTGTGGCCGGCCCCCCTCTGAGTGCTCGCCCTTCTCTCCCTCCCCGCAGCCGCCCCTCCTATCGTTTTCCCTCCTCCAGCATGCCGGCCAAATTCGCTTTGTAGTGCCCCTGCATCGCTGCCACGCTGGAGCGGATCGTCCCGCCTCGCTGCCGACGGAAAAGTGGCTGGCCCCCGACGCCATCAGCGCACACGTGCTGACGTCCCACTCCTGCCTCCGCCGCCTGCCCGAGGCGGGCGTGGAGGCGGACGAGGGGGCCTCCCCCGTGGGCCCCAGGCCTCGTCGAAGACGGTGGCGTTCTGCAGCTCGAAGACCGTCCAGTTGAACAACTGCGGGTCGACCTCGGCAGGAGGAGCTCCGCGGAGAGAGGCGGCGGCCTGGGCCTCGCCGGCTCGTGGGCGATAGGCAGGCGTGGAGCGCCTGGGCCCCCCGGGGCGCCCGAGCTCCCACCGGACTCGGGGCTCCCGCGCTCGGGGGAGTCTCGAGAGCGGGCTGGCCTCGGGCGACGGGGTCACATGCACGGAAACAAGCGCGCCACCCCGGCCCTCCACCCCCACCCGCCCCGGTCCCCATCCGGCCCCCCTGGTCGTCTCCCCCCCGCCCTTGCCCTCTCCCTTCCCCGGTCTCACCTCGCCCCCGCGACGGCCGCATTCCCAGCTCCGGCTGGCGCTCCCGTACGTCTGAATGTTCTGCGCAGGGCGTCCCTGCTGCCAGGTGCATGCGCACATCGACATCTAGACATATATATATATATATGTACACACATACGTGTTTTAACACTGTGTGCACATATGTATGTATATGGCGATACAGCTGCGTAAATACATACGTTCATGTATATAATGTTATACTACATATATGCGTCCATACATATATGCATACCTACATGCATACAAACAGGTATACGTATGCATGCGTATACCTACATGTACATTTATGTATATATATATATAAACATACATACATACATACATACATGCATGCATACATACATACATACATGCATGTCTGCACACATACCTACACGACATACATGCATGCATACATGCATACCTACATACATACATGCATGCATGCATGCATACATACATACATATATACATACATGCACATATACATATATATACGTGGGTTTATGAATATACATGCATACATACGTGCATGCATCCATACATACATACTTGCATGCATGCATGCATACAGACTGACAGACATGCATACATACATACAGACATGCAAATGAATATCAACATGTATACGTACATACGTGTGTACTAGAATCACGAGCGCGCTTTGCGCGCGCGTAGGTTATAGCCACACCCAAGTTGCTAGTGAGAACTGGAGGGACGATGTGTGAGGGCATTCGGTCTATTTGATTTGCGACTCTAGCAACGTGCAGGGGAGTCTTGAACGGCTCGTCAATGCGCCCTGCGTCTCTCTGGCCCCGCCCTGGGACCAGAGGAGGAGCCGAAAAGAGAAGAGGGGTGCTGGAGTCCAGAGTCGTGATCCGTGGTGCACGCCATCATGGACGAACCAGAGTGCATCGAAGGCCACCCCCCCATCGGGTCACGCACCTGGGGCCGAAGCACGGCTCACCGAAGGGACGACAAACTTCTCGAATCGCATCGGCAAGGCCTCAAAATGGATGGTGCCGGTTCTCCGGGGGCTCTGGTGAGGAGCTTTCCCGGCCGCGTGCAGCCGTCTTTGGGCCGTCGTGGCATCCCTGGACGCATGCTTAGAGATGACTGCGGTCAGGTCGGGCGTCTTCCCCTACAGGCGGATTTTGGACGAAAAATGCAAGTTACCCAAAAAAATCAAACACAATTATAAAAAATACTCAAAAATAGTACCCCGGCTTTTTTTTACTATTTTTGAAGATTCCTCCTGTAGAGGGACGTGCCAGATTTACGACTGCGAGGGGGGAAACTCCAAAACCGCTCGGGGAATGTGCTGGGCCGTATTGGAAGTTGTCCTCCTCCTCCTCCTCCTCCTCCTCCTCCTCCTCCTCCTCCTCCTCCCCGTGCTCCTGCTCCTGCTCCTGGTCTCCCTCCTCATTTCCTCCTCCTCCTCCTCCTCCTCCTCCTCCTCCTCCTCCTCCTGCTCCTCCTCCTGGGCCATATGGGAAGTTATCCTGGGCCCGCCGTGGAAAGTCTCTTTAGGCTGGCGCGGGCCTGCTTCGAGGCCCTTCAGAGGTCCGTCCTGGGACCGCCTCGAGGGCCTCCAATTGTGCAGTCCTAGGCACCTCTTCGGCCGTTGTGGCGTTCCTCAGGGGGCTCCTTGTGCTGTCTTGGGCTACCTTTAGGTCGGGCATGTCCCCCTACAGGCAGATTTTGAAGGACAAATTAAAACTATCAAAGAAATACTCGAAAATTATCCCAAAAAAATAAGGAAATCGTCCCCTGATTATTTCTGGCTATTTCTGAACACTCCTCCCGTGGAGGGACACGCCCGACCCTGAGGCTACCTGGGGTGCCCGCTTGGACCGTCTTGGAGCTCTCTCGTGGGCCAGTCGGCTCGGAGGCCCAAGAGACTCCCGGCCGTCAGACCGCCGCCGCCGCCGTGGGGTGCAACCTCGGGGCTCGGCCGGCCGCCCTGGACGCGCCGAGGCTAGGAAAGTGGAGAGTCCAGCGGCAAAGTCGGCTGCATCGAATCATTGGGCGTTGCCGGCCAATCCATGCTGGAAGCGTGATCGGAGGCCTCTCGGGGTCAGAGAACACCTGTGCTCAAAGGCGAACCCGAGGGAAGAAGTTCGCGAGCGATGAATAAATATATATGTGTATACATATACATACATGCATGCATGCATGCATGCATACATGCATGCATGCATACATACATACATGCATGCATGCATGCATGCATGCATGCATGCATGCATGCATACATACATACATACATACCATGCATGCATGCATATATACACACATACATGCATACATACATACATGCATGCATACATACATGCATACATACATGCATGCATGTATGCATGCATGCATACATACATGCATACAGACATGCATACATGCATACATATGTACATGCATACATACATACATACATACATACATGCATGCATGCATACATACATACATACATACATACGTGCATACATACATACATACATACATACATACATGCATGCATACATGCATACATACATACATACATACATACATATATACATACCTACCTACCTACCTATATACATACATACATACATACATACATACATACATACATACATACATACATACATACATACATACATACATACATACATACATACATACATATGCATGCATGCATCCATACATACATCTATACATTCCTAGATACAAACATACATACACGCATGCATGCATGCATGCATGCATACGTACATACATACAGACATACATACATACATGCATACATACGTATACATCTATATACATCTAAATACTAAACCAGGCGCGCGTTTCCGCGCGCGCTTCGGTTCTAGTCGCAGCTGCGCCACGTTGTACGGCTCTCGCTGTCGCTCGTCTGATCGGCGACATTGTGAAGTCCGCTGCATGCGGGCGTTGCAGAGTCTCGATCCGTCTCGGCTCCTTCCCCCTCCCCCTCCCTTGTCATCGTCCTCCTCCTCCTCCTCCTCCTCCTCCTCCCCGTGCTCCTGCTCCTGCTCCTGGTCTCCCTCCTCATTCCCTCCTCCTCCTCCCCGTCCTTCTCCTCCTCCTCCTCCTCCTCCTCCTCCTCCTCATCCTCATCCTCTTCCTCCTCCTCATCCGTTCTCCTCCTCCTCCTGGCTTTTCCATTTTCACTCCTCTTCGTCCTCCTCCTCCTCCTCCTCCCTTCCTCCTCCTCCTCCGTTCTCCCCCTATTCTTATGTTCCATCCCCTCCTCCTCCTCCTCCTCCTCCTCCTCCTCCTCCTCCTCCTCCTCCTCCTCCTCTCCTCCTCCTCCCCCTCGTCCTCCTCCTCCTCCTTCTCGTCCTCCGCCTTCTCCTCCTCCTCCACCTCCTCCTCCTCTTCCTCCTTTTTCTCCTCCTCCCCTCCTCCTCCTCATCCTCCTCCCTCTCCTCCTCTTCTTCCTCCTCTCTCCTCCTCCTCCTCCTCCTCCTCTTCCTCCTCCTCCTCCTCCTCCTCCATCTCCTCCTCCTCCTCTCCTCCGTTTGCAGCTACTCCTCGTCCTCCCTCCTCCCCTCCTCCTCCTCCTTCTCCTCCTCCCTCCTCCTCCTCCTCCTCATCATCATCATCCATCTCCCTCTCCTCCTCCTCCTCTCCTCCGTTTGCAGCTACTCCTCGTCCTCCTCCTTCCCCTCCTCCTCCTCCTCCTCCTCCTCCTCCTCCTCCTCCTCCTCATCATCATCATCATCATCATCATCATCATCATCATCATCATCATCATCATCACCATCATCATCCTCCCGAATGTACCCAGAGAGGTCTCCGGGAACATATGAGCAGCTGTTCTCCACTGCCCTTGCAGGGACCGTGGCCCGAAGGGAACTCCACCTACGGCCCCAGAAAGATGGTTCGCATGGCGTCTGCACGCCGATGTCGGCACACACCTCACACGGAGCGCGCACCATAGGGAGCTCCACCGACGGCTCCAACAGGAGGGATCGAATAACGTCCCTCCGCATATTTTGGCACACCCCTGACGCGGACCGTGCCCCGCAAGGGTCTCCATCTATGGCACCCATGGGCTATTTCGCATGGCGTACCCACGCCTGTTTCGGCGCCGCTACACGCGGATCCCGCTCCACAAAGAGCTCGACCTACGGCCTCAGCGGGCGCGCTCGCGCGGCGGCCACCCCATGCACGCGGATCGCGACTCACAGGGAGCGCAGCGTCCCTACGCGCGCTAGCTCCGCAGCGACCTACTATCCGGTCTACCCCGCGTCGCGCAGCATGTGAGAGAGAGAGAGTGAGAAAGCCGCGGCCTGCGCTACACGCAGCTGCAGAAGGGGTGGCCCTTCGCCAGGCCAAGTTGTTGTTCTTTCCTCTTACATGCACACATACAGGAACACTGACATACAACCGTGCACGTATGCATACAGGCGTACGTACATACATGCACATACGCTTTGGTCAGCGGCGCAGAGAGTCCTCAAGCGCGAACAGCAGATGGAAGTGCGAATTGCGATCGAGCGTTGTCGAAGGCGCAGCGTACGAAGCGTCACACACAGCATAAAGCATGCGGTGGGTGTGCTGGAGGAACTGTAAGTCCAAATGAAACAGGCAGCGGCCAGAAAACGAGGAGAATCCTCAACTCAAAATGAACTGAAGCGCGACAACACATACATACAGTCATTCATTCATTCATTCATTCAATCATACATACATACATACATACATGCATACATGCATACATGTATACATGCATACATACATACATGCATACATACACATGTACATGGATACGTATATACATACGTACATGCATACATACATACATACATATACACACATACACATAAAAGCAAAACCTGTGCCGAACAGGCGGCATCTCAAGAACGGGCCTAGGTTGTGGACCAGAGGCCTCTCGTAGATGTATATTAAGGTTTCTTGAGAAGTCTCTCAGAGGCCCGTCTGGGACCTCTTGGGGGTCTTCTGGAAGCTTCCTGGGGGCCTCCTGGGGGCCTCTTGGGGTCTCTTGGGGGCCCCTTTGGGACCTCCCGGGGCCTCTTGGGAGCCGCTTGGGCCTTTTGGCGGCCTAGTGGGGCCAACGCTCGAAATTCGAAGTCTGTTTTCCCCCTGGGGGGACCCCTCTGGAGCCTGTCATTGGGCGCTCTTGGGCCATCTTGGGGGCCTCATGGGCCGTCTCGGGCCCTTCCTGGGCCGCCCTGGAGCTTTTTGGGGGGTCTCCTGGGCTGTCTTGGGGGCCTCTTGGGCCGTCGTGGACGCTACAAATAGACGCTTCCCAACGAAAATGGGACAGTTCTTGCTCTTTGGGGCCCTCTTGGGGGGCCTCTTGGGGGCGTCTGTCTGAAGTCGCCTTGGCGCTGTCGCGGTGCCATCTGAGGCCGTCTTAGAGTTCTCGCGGGCCGCTCTCGGGAGCCTTGAGGGCCAGTCGCAGGCTGTCTTGGGTGGTATTGGAAGATCCCCTGGCTTTCTGAGACCTCCGGGCGTCGCCCAGGGAGGTCCCCGGGGAGAAGGGGCACCGTCGTACAGGGGAGGGGGCCGCCCCGAGGCCCCGGGGCGGGGATCTCCCATTTATATATATATATATATATATAGAGAGAGAGAGACATGCATACATACATACATACATACATACATACATACATACATACATACATATACATACATGAATGCATACATGCATGCATGCATGCATGCATGCATACATACATACATACATACATACATACATGCATGCATGCATGCATGCATGCATGCATGCATACATACATACATACATACATACATACATACATACATACATACACATACATACACACACATACATACATACATACATACATACATACATACATACATACATGCATACATACATGCATACATAAACATGAACATAAACATAAGCATAAGCATAAACACAAACATAAACATAAATATAAACATACACATAAACATAAACATACACATAAACATGTGTCTACATACATATATACATACATATTTATGTATACATAAACATCAACTTTCCTCAGTCGGACTATCTCCCACGCGGCTTCCATACACGGCATAACTCAGTGACCTTATAACGCCTGAGGGGGGCATAATGGGACCCCGCGTTTCTGCGTTTTGACTCTGGTACGGAAATGCGTTTTGTGCTCTCTTGACCTCGCGAGGAGGAGAGAGTGATGATGGGAAGCATGAAGAGGAACCATGTTCATTCCTTTTGTTTCTGCTTCGTTCTCCATGTCTCCCATTCCCACCATCCTTCCCCCTCGCACTCCTCCTGACCCCTCCCCACATCTTCTCATTTTCCTCACGTCCAAACTTTCCCCATGCCATCCTCCCTTCTCTCTGCCCTACACTACCAATTCGCCTCTCCGGCCCCTCTCATCCATGCCGCTTCCCCGCCACCCCAGAAGCATCGCACACACACACACACACACACACACACACACACACACACACACACAAACACACACACACACACACACACACACACCGCCGCACCCCTACTCATCGAGCCCCGATCGATGAATCAGGCAGCTCCGAAGGGCTCACGTAGTCGGGACTCGAAGGGTATCTGCAGTTCACGTGCGCTATATTGCACAGGCGGTCAACTTCGGCGAGGAAATGCGGCACGCCCTGCTGTAGCATGGCGTGGTACGTCGATGCGTCCACGCACTGATCGACGAAGTCTTTATACTCCTACGGGGAAGTGCCAACCACACACCGACACCAAATATTGAACACATCGATCCTGAGCCCAGAATGCGTCGCTGTTTGGTTAGCGGTCCCCGGTCCTCTGGCTTCGTCGAAAGACGCAGAGCCTCTTCGAGGAAGAAGCTGCCCATCTCCCAGTCAGTCCAGTCTCTGTGGTAAGTGTACCACAGGTAGCCACCGAGTCGGGACGCCGACTGGCCATTGTCGTAGTATCTGATCGGCGACACCGCGATGGTGCCCGTCAGCTGGATCCCTTGTGCCGGGTACAGGACCGTGACAAGCTTGAACGCTCTCGTGTCTGAATAGTGCAGGGTGAAAACTTTGATGGTATTCCCCTGGGCCTCCGCAACGAAGATGTAGTGACGGAAAAGGGCAACGCCCATGGGCTCCCAAAGTGACTCGTTATCGTGAGCGCCTACGCTATACTCTCCCGAGTACACCAGCCGAGGGTAGCTGTCAGGAGCAGGGTATGGCCATTCACTCACGGATCTGCCGTCCGAGTTGATAGCGTCGTACCTGAAATCGAGCTTGATCAGTCGGTTGGTCAACTTGTCGACTACGAAGACGTTGGCTATGACAGGTTCGGATGGGTACTCCCAAGCGGGGGCTTGCACGGCCATCCCCCACGGCAGCGTCATGCCATGCTCGTCGTCGTGGGGCACCATGGTTTCCCCGAACTGGCCTGCGTACCTAAAGCCCACGTTCCCGCCCATGTCGCTTGGGAACGGAGGCGATACCAGGCTCGCGGAATGCGCTCTGACCTTCCAGAGAACAGTAATTCGATTGTTTCCAACGTCGGCGACAAATAGGAATCTCTCAGCCGCGTGGGGGCAAAGCGGAGTGATTCGCACGGTATCGTTGATGTGAGTCGAGTTGTAAGACTCGTAGACAACCGAAGTGGCAGGGAACTTCAGGTGGGTGTACTGCCGCAGCGGCTCGTTTTCGGCGTACATCTGATTGAATCTGCCGAAGACCGCGAGTTCAGTCGGCTCCTGAATGGAACCCCACGTGAAGTTGAACTCTTGTACCTGCCCCGGATCAGAAAAACGCGATAGAGACGACACAGCCTCACCTCGGCGTTTATGAGGTCGTCCCCTCCGTCCCCGCTGAACCCTCAAAAAGATGCGCCAGACTACATGACAAATCGCCTGGGCACCACTCTACTGATGCCCCAGACTATTTTAAAAAACTATTTTTGAACACTCCCCCTTTAGAGGGACACGCCAGACTTAACTTTTGTCCCCCCGAGCTCCCTCGCCGGAGCGACATGAATCCCTGCGTGCCGGGGCCGTCCGAGGAGCGTCAGGAGTCAAGAGTCCCAACCCGGAAGCGAAAATATGCTCAGATGTGTTACTTGGAAGCTGGGCGAGGGCTGGCAAATCCGTGACTGCTAAAACGGTTTTCCTGGAAGAAGAAAACAAATTCCCGGAATCAAGCTCAGCGCACTAAATGGTAAACGGGTGGCTTCCCGGAAGGAGAAAAAAAATCCCGGAGCCCCGTTTTAGTAGCCACGGGTTTGCCAGCCGTCGCATGGCTTCTGAGATGTGTTACCAGCCAGTGCTGCACACAGGCCTAAAGTCTCAACGTCGGCGGAGTTCGCAGAGGCTAGAGCGGAGACCACGAGGCATGGGGGATCCTCGAGGCCTCAACCTCCGGTCAGAATCAGAGCATTCCCCCTGAACGCCGACCGCAACATGTCAGCTTGATTATCATACTTCCCGGTTGCAACCGCGCGGCCGTGCAATCCCCGTCTCCCTCCCTGTGAAGCCCTCCAAAAACAGTCCTGGTCTCCTCACCCGGGTCTACTTCTGCAGTACGCCTCTAAGACGGTTCATGCATGACTCTTGGATGCCCGACAGGCCCCACATGGGCCCCACATGGGCCCCAAGAGGCCGAATGATAATTCACGGGGAACGACCCCGAGGCGTCAGTGATCGGCTCAATCCCCACGGCTCTTGCATCTATGATCTGACACTGCCGAGCTCAAGATGGCCCGAGAGCTCGCGCCAGGTCGGCACCATGATGGCTCAAGATCGGGAGCGGCCACGAGGGGGGTGTCCAAGAGGGGGGGTGCAAATCATGACCGGCGGCCTGTGCGCGGCCCAGCGGGGGGCCAGGGACGTAATGGAATAAGAAGAGGCGCCATGAAATCTGGGGAGATATCATGGCCCCCGCCATGATATCCACCCCCCCCTAGTCATCACCCCCCTCTTTTCCGCCCCCGACAAGACCGCCACTAGAATCTCCAAGAGGCCCCCGGGTCTGAACATGGCCGCAGCGTCTGAGGGCGACCGCAACGGTTCAGATAAAACCACGCCGAGGGTGGCAGCTGCAGCACAACAATACGATATATAGCGAGCAGAGACAGAGCCAAGCAAGACATGCTGTGAGCGGGAAGGCTCCAGACAAAAAACGGTGTTGCCCACGGGTCTGTGTGGCCCCAGGGTCCTCCAACCTGGCCCGAACACCAACCGGCCCGAAGGGGCCCCGAAACGGCTGCCGGAGGCTCAGAGTGCACTGAGCAAACGCCCCAATGGCCCCGCCCCCTTCCAGGCCTCTCTGGCCTGGCCTATCGATCGTTCGATCCTGGTCGCGAGTGCCCCATGATTAGATCGACCGAAGCTCTGGCCTTCGCCCACATGTTCCCTATTACTATCTGGGGTGCCCTGTGCTGGTCGACTGTCAGGAATCCAGCATTCAGAGCCGTTGCAGACTGCGGGTTGCACAGCAAGTCCGAGTTCAGACAGGAAGCGCCCTTGAAAAACCTCACGTAGGGCCTGGTAGTGTCGAAATACGGGTAATTCCCGTCGTTCTCGATGTCCAGGGCTGCCAGGTCCGCAAGGATAGTGATACTGGACCTCCTCCTTTTCCACAACCTGCCCCACTCCCCCTCTCTCCCCTGCCCCCGCTCCTGCTCCTGCCCCTCCTCCCTGGGAGGAGGCCGAATATCGCTGCCCCCTCGGGCGTTGGCTGCCCCAGGCTGTTCAGCACGTAGATCGACCCCTTCTGCTCCGTGAGCAGCAACAGCTCTCCGCCAGCGGCTATCGGCACAATGGACAGGTGGAGGGCCTCTGCGCAGGCGGGGAGCGGAGGAGAAGAGGGCGGAGAAGCAAGGATCGAGAGGAGCGACGATCGAGCATCCAGAGTGTAAGACCTTCCTGGAGGCCTCCAGGGGCGTCCTGGAGGCTTCCCAGGGACGTCCCAAAGCCTCCCGACGAGCCTGGGGGCTTCCGGAGACCTCTGAAGTCCCCCAGAGACCTCGGGAGGCCTCCGGGGAGGAGGAAGATGAGGAAGGGGCAGAGCCAGACGACCAGCGGACTCTTCTTCCAACCCCGACGCTTTCTGCTCATCTCAACTTCCAGAAACCGTTGTCGCGCTTTCGGGCCATCCACAGAACGAGTCCAGGATCCAAAAGAAACGGCCTCGGGGGAAGGGTAAGAGAGACCTCTGGGGCCCATGGATGAGAACAAGGTCATCCATGCCCATCGGTCGGAAGATGTAGGTAGAAGCATGACGTAGGAAGGCGTTGAAAATAGATAGGGTTCCGTCCGCCCCCTTGGGAGGACGGGGAAGCCACTCGATCATTGAAGTAGAAAGTCGCCTAAAGTAGAGTGGAATATGGGACTCCAAAAACACCTATACTCTCAACGACCGATGGTGGGTATGATGTCTTCCTCTGGAGAGGCGGTTCGAGGTCTCACCAAGCTGCTCCCCACCCGACAGGTTGGGGTCGTTGGATTTTTTAACAACAGGGCTCACGACCTGCCTCGAACACCCTGCGCACCGCGGCCACCAGGCCCGAAGTGTGCCAGCGCTCCCTGCGGATTCCGCCTCGCGCCTTCGACGCACGACGACTGCACACCGCTGCCGCCGAGCCCAAAAGTGTGCCGGTGCTCCCTGGGGATCTCGCCTCACGTTCTCTCTCGGGTGGGGACCGCTCGAGGCATCAGTTGTCCCACACTTTTTGATCGGCGGGGCGAGCGCGAACCCTTTCCGCTAAAAGCTAGGCGGGCTACGCACAGCTTTAATTAGGGAGACAGGGTACAGGAAGGCGGGGCCTCAGGCAGCCGGAGTGGGCGAAGCCCAGGGGTGCAGGCGGTGCCGAAGTGGATGTGCAGGAGCAGGTGCGCCGCGGACAGGTACCGGGGGCGAAGACCCGAGCAGTTGTCCCACACATCGGGCCGTTTTCGGGCCACGGGGGCCCCGACAATTTGATCGGGGGCTGAAAGCTGGCCGTTTCCGTGAGCCTGGGATGGAGAGCTGACCCTGGGGGAGGGGTCGAGAGCTCTGAGGCCGCGGACTGAGGGCTCCTCCTCCTCCTCCTCCTCCTCCTCCTCCTCCTCCTCCTCCTCCGTTGGTCCTTCCTTCTTCCTCCTCCTCCTCCTCCTCCTCCTCCTCTTCCTCCTCCTCCTCCTTCGCCTCCTCCTCCTCCTGCTCCTCATCCTCATCCTCATGCTCCTCATCATCCTCCTCCTGCTCCTCATCATGATCATCATCACCAGCACCAGCAGCATCATCGAATGTAATCATCATCATCACATCATCATCATCATCATCATCATCATCATCATCATCATCATCATCATCATCATCGTCATCATCCTCATCAGCAGCAGCAGCAGCACCTCCTCATCCTCCTCCTGCTCCTCATCATGATCATCATCACCAGCACCAGCAGCATCATCGAATGTAATCATCATCACATCATCACATCATCATCATCATCAGCAGCATCATCAGCATCACCACCACCACCATGATCATTATCATCATCGTCAGCAGCAGCATCAGCAGCATCATCATCAGCAGCAGCATCAGCATCATCATCATCATCGTCGTCATCATCATCCTCCTCCTCCTCCTCCTCCTCCTCCTCCTCCTCATCATCATCATCATCATCATCATCATCATCATCCTTATCATCATCATCATGTTCATCATCACCATCACCATCATCATCAGCATCAGCATCATATCAGCAGCCTCATCATCATCATCATCATCATCAGCAGCCTCATCATCATCATCCACAGCATCCTCATCATCGTCCGCCGCATCAGCATCATCATCAGCAGCATCAGCATCATCATAATCATCCTCCTCGTCACCATCAACATCACCACCACCATCATCATCATCATCAACAACAACCTCAAAATCACCATCACCAACAGCAGCAGCATCAACAGCATCAATAGCATCAGCATCATCATCATCATCATCAGCCTGACCCTCATCATCATCCTCATCCTCATCCTCATCGTCATTAACATCCTCAACATCGTCATCAGCATCATCATCTTATCGGTCGTCATCATCATCACCATCATCACCATCACCATCACCATCACCATCATCACTATCACAATCACCATCACCACCAGTGATCATCATCATCAGCATCCCCATCAGCAGCAGCATCAGCCTCGTCATCATCATCAGCATCAGCATCAGCATCATCAGCAGCATTCTCAGCATCATCATCATGACCACCATCGTCATCATCATCATCATCATCAACAACAACAACAGCAGCAGCATCAGCAGCAGCAGCAGTACCATCATCAGCAGCAGCATCAACAGCAGCAGCATCACAATCATCATCATCATCAGCAGCATCAGCATCAGCATCAGCATCAACATCATCAGCAGAATCAGCATCAGCATCAGCATCATCAGCATCATTGTCGTCCTCATCATCAGCATTTGCATCATCACCATCACCATCACCGTCATCATCAGCATCAGCATCATCATCAGCAGCCTCATCATCATCATCATCATCATCCACAGCATCCTCATCATCATCAGCCGCATCAGCATCATCATCAGCAGCATCAGCATCATAATCATCCTCATCGTCACCATCACCATCACCACCACCATCATCATCATCATCATCAACAACAACCTCACAATCACCATCTCCAACAGCAGCAGCATCAACAGCATCAATAGCATCAGCATCATCATCATCATCACCCTGACCCTCATCCTCATCCTCATCCTCATCCTCATCGTCAGTATCATCCTCAACATCGTCATCGGCATCACCATCTTATCGGTCATCATCATCACCATCCTCACCATCACCATCACCATCACCATCATCACTATCACAATCACCATCACCACCAGTGATCATCATCATCAGCATCATCAGCAGCAGCAGCATCAGCCTCATCATCATCATCAGCATCATCATCAGCATCATCAGCATTCTCAGCATCATCATCATCATGACCACCATCGTCATCATCATCACCATCATCATCATCAACAACAGCAGCATCAGCAGCAGGAGTACCATCATCAGCAGCAGCATCAACAGCAGCAGCATCACAATCATCATCATCAGCATCAGCATCAGCATCATCATCAGCAGAATCAGCATCAGCATCAGCATCATCAGCATCATCGTCGTCGTCATCGTCATCACCATCACCATCAACGTCACCATCATCATCGGCATCATCATCAGCAGCCTCATCATCATCAACAGCATCCTCATCATCAACAGCAGCAGCAGAATCATCTTCATCATCATGAGCAGCATCAGCATCAGCATCAGCATCAGCATCAGCATCATCATCATCGCCATCAGCATCATCGTCACCATCAACATCACCATCGCCATCATCATCATCAACATCATAACCATCACCATCACTCACAGCAGCAGCATCAACAGCATCAACAGCATCAGCATCAGCATCATCATCGTCAACATCATCATCACCCTGACCCTCATTATCATCCTCATCCTCATCCTCATCCTCATCCTCATCCTCATCGTCATTATCATCCTCATCATCGTCATCAGCATCATCATCGTCTTGGTCATCATCATTATCCATTACCATCGCCATCACCATCATAGCTATCACAATCACCATCACCACCAGTGATCATCATCAGCAGCATCAGCAGCATCAGCATCATCAGCAGCAGCAGCAGCATCAGACTCGTCATCATCAGCAGCATCATCAGCATCATCAGCAGCATCGTCAGCAGCAGCATCCTCGGCATCATCATCGTGACCACCATCATCATCATCATCATCATCATCATCATCATCATCATCATCATAATCAACAGCATCAGCAGCAGCAGTACCATCATCATCAGCAACAGCAGCATCAACAGCAGCAGCATCACCATCATCATCATCATCATAATCATCATCATCATCAGCATCATCATCATAATCATCATCAACATCAACATCAACATCAGCATCATCATCAGCAGCAGCATCTGATCGTCGTCATCAGAAGCAGCAAATCATCTCTACCCCCTCGCAGGACTGCTCCAGGCTCTGGAGGGGTCTAGGGTCCGGCGGGTCCTCGGGCCTTCTGCACAGCTACCCGAGCCTACTCCGAAGCCCCGCCACCTTCTGAGAGGCCATGCCCCCACCTCACTTCCCCCCTCGGCCCGCCGCCGGCACACGACCCGTCGACCTGCTGGTTCTCGGCCCTGGAGTCTCTGCGCCGTCTTGGCTTTTCATATCTGCCCCCGCCAGATGCACCCCCCCAGCACCCCACCGGAGTACTACACTAGACAATCGAAGCTCGCTGGACGCGATAGCATGAGGAGGAGGAAGAAAAAAGAAGAAGGAAGAGGCCCTGGAGCCTCTGCGTTGTGGTAGATCGTCAACGCGCGCAGGCGGCCCCGTGTGAAGCGGCCCTCGTAGGGCTGAGGCTCTCGAGGCGGCCGCTCAGAGGCCCTCCCCGAGCGCCCTGGCCGAGCCTGGAGAGGCGGCGCCCTGCGTCTCGAAACCACCCTCCCCGACCAGCCACAGCTGCGCTGAAGGTGTCTACACACCACCACCGCTCCTGCCCAGGGCCACCCTGAACTGGCACGGTGTGTGTGCGCCTTCCTTGCTTAACAGCAAAAGGACCCTAAGGAGGGCCAAGAACATTACGGATAGGGGATGCCTCTGCAGATGTGTAAATCAAACCGCCCAAATGCTCGATCCCAAGTGCAAAGACGGGCACCTAAGTGTGGCCACGTCTTCCTTACGTTATGAGGGTTAGGGGTGCTTTTAGCCTCGATGACTCCTGGCCGAGACCAGGAGTCTGCACAGCATCCTCCTAGCCAAAAACGGTGGCGGTGTACAGGTGCTTCGTGCGGGGCTGGACCCCCATCACACACCCCTGGGGGGACCCCGCCGTGCCGGCGGTCTCTCGACGGGGGCTTCGAAGTCGATGGGCCCCCCCCCCGGGG